GGCAGCGGGGGCTCCAGAGAGGCGTTCCCTGAGATTTAATGGACGGGCTCCCCACCAAGAAACTGGAGCAGCTTGTGCGGAGATGATCAGAGCAAGGGGCCATTTCGAGGCCAACTCCTAGCACCCCACCCCTGATAAACTCTGGGGAGAAACCAGCCGGGGGGAGAAAAGACGGCGGAGAAGTAAAACCTCCGTCCCCTGAAGGTGAGGGGGAGGGCGGAGGGTGGATGTCCGTAAGACAGCTCACCTGCAATGCAAAGGGAGACTTGCCGCTCACGGTAGCGGTAGGACCGAAGAAAACACCGGTAACCTTTTTAATCGACACGGGGGTGCAAATTACCGCACTGAGGCGAACAGAAGCGGAACGATGCGGGATCTCGGTACCCTCTAGAAACCTGATTGTTTTAAATGCTCTGGGAAAGACACAATTGGTACCTATGACCCCAGCGTCACTATGGTCACCAGGGGAGGACGGCCCTGTTAATGCTATGGTGGCCATAGGATCTTTTCAAATAAATCTCTCGGGCATAGACGGTTTAAAGGGCAGACAGTGGCGCGATGCCCAGGGAAATGCGCGGTCTTTCGGCGTCCCCCAGATCGGGCGGTTGGCCGAAGCCCCCGGCGTGGAGGTGCGCCTGTTGCAAAAGGCACCAGGGACGGAATCGCGCCAGTGCTGGAGGACTGAAAGGGGCAGGGAATTATAGTTCCCACTCCCTCCCCCTTTAACTCCCCGGTATGGCCGGTGCAAAAACCAAACGGCAAATGAAGGTTGACAGTAGATGACCGGAGGCTGAATGCCAACACCAGCCCATTAACAGCCGCTGTCCCGAACACCGCCGAGCTCATAGCTGCCGTTCACGAGCAAGCACACCCTACTATGGCAACTACTGACGTTAAAGACATGTTCTTTATGGTCCCTCTGCAGCCACAGGACCAGGACGGCTTCGCCTTCACTTGGGGGGGGGGCACCAGGACACCTTTACACGGCTCCCTCAGGGATACAAGCACTCCCCCACCTCAGCCCACCACGCTCTGGCGCAGGAGCTGGAAGCGATTCCCATGAGGGCGGGGGTGACAATTTACCAAGACATAGGTGATGTGCTCATAGGGGGGAATCAGGCGGAAGAGGTTGGGGAAGTCCAGAAGGACATCATCACCCATTTAGAGAGCATAGGATTGACAATCCCACCCGAGAAAATACAAACCCCTTCAAGCGAGGTGAAATTTTTAGGAATTTGGTGGAAGGGAGGGATGACGTATCCCACCAGACACCCTTTCCTCCCTCGACCAAATTAAGATACCAGAATCAAAAAAAGACTTACAGCACGCGTTAGGGCTGTTGGTGTTCTGGAGGAAGCACACCCCCAACAAATGCTTACCAAGCCCTTGGGCCCATTCACCCGACAGACCCGGTACAGATCGAGTCGGGGTTTGCCATGACCGGGCTGTCGATTCATTTGTGGCAGAGGGGGCCAGCAGGGCCCATGAGGCCCATTGGCTTTTATTCCCGTAGTTTCAAGGACGCAGAAAAACGGTACACCGCGTGGGAGAAGGGGCTATTTGTAGTCAGCCTGGCTTTACGAGAAGCGGAGCGCACGATTCGCCAGCAACCAATAGTGCTCAGAGGTCCTTTCAAAGTGATCAAACCAGTTTTAACCGGGACACCTCCCCCTGACGGGGTGGCACAAAGAGCTTCGGTACGAAAACGGTACCCACAAATAGAACGTTGTTGTGGTATCTTTGAAGTTTCTGAGGGCGCTACCAAAAATTTAGTTAGGAATCCCAGGCAGGCAGGAACCCCACCTCTCAGCTTGGCTGGGTAACGGAAGAGAAAGCAGCATGTTTGGAGTAAGTTTTCTGCCACTCCTGGGCAGGTGTGGCATTTCAACAGCTCCCACTTGCAGGATCACAATGGTGGTTACTTTAAAGCAAGAAGAAAGCCAGGGACGTTTTTTACGCTCTTCAGCACCAGACCTGTATTTCTTTAAGACTCAAGTTCTCTTTTCCCGCTTCTTATTCCCCAAGCAGTCCCAGGATTCTGCACTTCTAAAGATATAGCTGGTACACAAAATAGGCACTTCTGAGTTGTCCACACTTGACACAACCACAACCTGTTTGTTCCTGGTGGGTCACAACTAGTAGGAGCTCTCGATGCAGGACACGGTCTTTCTGAGGGCATTTCCAAGAGCCCCCTTGACTTGCCTGTTGCTCAGGCTGTGGAGGAGTGGATTGGCCATGGGCGTGAGGATGGTGTAGAAAAAGGATCGCACTGTATTGAGCTGCCTCAGCGAGGCTGTTCTGGGTATCATATAGACAACGATGAGGGTACCATAGGAAGCAGTGACCACGCTGAGGTGAGAGGAGCAGGTGGAGGAGGCCTTCTGCCTCCCCGTGGTGGCTGGGATCCTCGGGATCGCAGCTATGATGCAGATATAGGATACCAAGGTGAACACAAATGGGGAGGCCACATCCAGAAAGCAGATGATGAAAGTAACCAGTCTAAGCACCGTGGTGTCGCTGCAGGCGAGCTCCAGCAACGGGGCAAAATCGCAGAAGAAGTGATCAATTGCATTGGGACCACAGAAGTGTAAGTTGGAAAGTAGCCCGCTGACTATGGTAGACATTAGTAATCCTGCTAGCCAAAACCCAGCCGCCGGCTGGAGACGGAGCTTCTGCTTCATGAGGCTGGCATAGAGCAGGGGGTGGCATATGGCCAAGTACCGATCCTAGGACATGGTGGCCAGCAGATAACACTCGGTACCTGCACAACAGGCGAAGAAAAAGAACTGTGTCATGCAGCCTTGAGCAGAAACGGATCTGTCCCTGGTTAGGAAGCTGGCCAGCAGCCTGGGCAGGATAGTGGAGGTACAGCAGATTGCCACACTGCAGAAATTAGGCATCTGATCTGAGGCCCACAAAAGAAGGACGAGGAAACCTAAGAAAAGGGAAGGGAAGGTTGACAAAGGTAACAAGATGAATTTAGTTACCCTCGTCACACCTTCAACTGACCGGGTACCAAAATTGATCCTCACAACCACACCAGAGCAAGAATATTTTTCCTGAAGACCTTTTCAGTCCTTCAGGAGTTGAAAACCCTCCTTTTCATGCTGCTGCTGGCGATTTCTCTGCTCGCTGTCATGGGGAATGCAGTCGCCATTGCCATCGTTTGGCTCCGCCACTAGTGCCACACCCCCAGGCATCCTTTCCGCAGCACCTTGTCCTTCTTGGATATTTGGTTCAATCTGGTCATTCCCCCTGACATGTTCGTCAGTCTCATGCTGGAGATTAAGATATCTCTGCGGCCGCGTACAAGTCCCTCCTTCTCCGTCAGCACAGCTGAGTTTAACCTATGTGTTGTGATGCGTCTCGATTGCTGCAGGGCCGTTTGCAGCCCCTCACACGACTCTGTCCTTACCAACTCCTGGCTGTGCTCCGTGCTCATCTTTAGCCGCTGGGGAATGGCATCTCTCGCCACGCTCAGCCCCACCGTCCTGTATGCCGTTAGACCCTCTGTAGAGCCTGCTGCTTCTGCGGCATCATCCCTTTGCTGAGAGCCGCCCGCATGGGCACCGGCTACTATGAAACATGAGCGTTGCGCTCTCCTCCACTGTTGCTGAGCTCCTTCACACTGACCTCTGTGGTTTATGCCTACATTATATGCACCGTCCTGAGGATAACCTCTGTGCAAAGCCACACTAAGGCCTTCTTCACCTGGATATCCTTCACCTATATTTCTTCACTCACTATGGCATATGCTGGCTGCATGCTTGACGATGCAGGGCCTGAAGAGAAGCTGCTTTGTTGTAAGCTGTCTGTAAATTTGCAGGTTCCCCTAAGGAAGTGCATTCAGGAGAAGAACAATTTTAGAGAATCTAGGTGTCACCCAAGAGAGTAAGAAGACACAACCCTTTGAGTGTTTGAACTGACCCAGAAAATGGACGCTGGGACTGTCCCCTCTCATTCACTGATTCGCTACGCTCATAGTGCTGTAGGTGACTGAGCTTGAGCTTTTGCTCAAATACAGCCAGGGGTTTGATCTCAGAAAATATCCCAAAGGAACCCAGCGCAGAGCTTCCCCTGTGCCAGACTAGAGGCCAAGAACAAGCCGGGCATTTGGGATCTAAGGCTAGCCTGAGCCCCAAGCTAAAATGTCAGTGCAAACATGGAGCACTGCCCTGTGCTGCTCTTCCCCTTTTACTCCTTGTGGAAGTGCTACCCGTTCTGCCCTGGGACAGAGCCTAAGGGGACAACACAGCCTGCGGATGAGATCTCTTTCACTGCTTCAAACCCACCATCTCCTCCCCTCCCTCTCCTCCCCTTGCACTTGGAATCATCCTACTTTTGAAGTCATCTGCTCTGCTCCTTTCCTTGTCTAAAAACAAATGTAAAGATCAAGGGAAAAACATCAGTCTTTATTGCATATATTTTTCTTGTGCTTCCTTCTGTTAGATGTCTATTTTGATTAAAAAAACAAACAAACAACGTTAATAAATCAGTGATTTGAGACTTGAATAGTGAGTTTCATCTACTTGGCTGCAGGTGCCTGTGAGAACTGGTTTTCCCCAGGCTCCCTCTAGAGTCAATGGAAACAAGAGAAAACGCTAGAGGCTGGTTCCTCCCAACCTATAACTGGCATGCAAAAGAAAGGTTACAAATCTCTTCCAGACACTCTTCTCTTGCTCTGCGTTTAGGTCAGGACATTTGATGGCAATAGCAATGAGCAACTCTTTGGAAACAACCGTGCTTCAGTGCAGACAGAGGTCAGATGAGATTGTGTGACAGACTGTGTGGAGTCATCATCCATTTCAGTCATTATTTAGAGCACGAAAGAAGACGAGTTATACTTGGTCCCTATTCCACTCCCACCCCCTTTCCTGAAGAAACAGAGAGCAAGAAGGTGTGGAAGGAAGCAGGGGATTACAAAAGATATGGTGGATATTACTTATTTTGAAAAGAAGAGGTTCTCAGGGAAAGGCAGAAACTCTGAAAAGCAGAAAGAATAGCTTTCAACATACACATTTGATTTCATTTGATTTGATTTCATTTGATGGTTTAGCATTTGTGCAATAGAAGAGATGAGTTTGGCACACAGGTGTGACAGGTGTTTGTAATAGGTCTGAGTGAATGTGGCATTTGCCAGGAATGGGGTGAAATAGCTCGCAGCCTCTTTAAAATCCTCTGTTCTGGAGAAAGAATCCTTCGTGAGAGTTTGAGAAAGGTAGAAAGAAGACAACAAATTCTCTGAGGACTCGAACTGAAATGTAAACCAGAAAAATCAGGGGGTGAGAAAGGCTTGAAGGACTCTCTCTCTCTGTGCTCTCTAGGTGGAAGACTGCAAGAAAGGAAAGAAGCGGAGAAGGAAGGATTCCTGTCGTCCAGACTGTGAAATAATCACACTTGGGTTTTGCCATCTTCCTGTCTCGGCAGGATGAACCGAAATTCAGCATGGGAGCAGAAAATGAAACTGCAGTTACTGAGTTCATCCTAGAGGGTTTCTCAGGGCTTGATCAAAGCCTACAGCTGTTTCTCTCTCTGCTCCTTCTGCAGGATACCTGACAACAGTGATGGGGAGCACAACCAGCATTTTCCTCGTGTGTGTGGATCACCGCCTGCAAACCCCCATGTACTTTTCCATCAGCAATCTGGCCTTCCTGGAAATCTGGTTCACATCCTCCACAAGCATCAAATTGTTTGTGATCCTGAGTTCTGGTAGGAGAACAATCTCACTAAGCAGCTGCTTTGCCCAGTCCTGTTTCTATTTTGCCCTGGGCTGTACAGAGTTGGTTTTACTTGCTGTCATGTCCTTTGACCACTACGTTGCCATCTGCCATCCTTTGCGTTATGCTGCCATCATGAAGCCTCAGCTCTGCATCCACCTGGTTGTTGCTGCTTGGGTCATAGGCATCACAGCCTTCAGTTACTGTCTGGTCCTCCTCTACAAGCTGACTTTCTGTGGCTCAAACAAGATCCACTCCCCCTTATTCAAATTGTCCTGCTCTGACCCCAGCCTGCTTTGGAAAACAGACTCTGTTTTATTATCGTTTATCATACTGGGTTCCTTATGTTTAA